TATATATATAAAGGTAAATGGAATATTAAAGGGAATTTTCTAGTAGCATATTTCATGGTTTATTACCCCTACAGGACACTGACTAGAAACAAGCTTGTTGTAAATTGATCGGTGCCAGGAAGCATATTGTTTTTTGAACAAATACGTTTCCTGCCAAGAAGAGGTCACATACCAAACCAAAGCTCTGCCAAAAGCTTTTTACACAACTTTCCTAGGGAAATAAAGACCTGTATGCATGTTTTCGACTCTAAAAACCCAACAAATTAAGATTTGTGCCACAAAATGTTGTTTTTTAACTGGAAAACTGGAAAATGACACCCAATACCAAAGGTCTTTACTCCTGCCTGCATTCACTGGTACGTACTGGTGCAGGTGCTGATTTGTGGCGAGCGCGTGCCGTAGTGACCTCGAGGACAGGAGGACAGACACGTCCCCCTCTGCCGCATCCCGTCCACCTCCAGGTGGAAGAAGAAGCGAGGCTTACAGGACAGACAGCCGTTCAGTGCAGAGCACGTTGCACATCCGGCCTGACAGTCGCTGCTCACTGAAGAGCTACCTGCAAAGAAGGACAAATTTATACATGTATGTGTGTTTTTAATGCAAGTAAAACTCTAGTCTGTGCCCTGTTTGTAGCTTGCAAATGTTGGTTTTACAACCCAAGATCTCAGCTTTAAAACTCCCAGTGTGCAGCTGGGTACGTCCATCGGAAATCTGGCCTCATTGCTCCCTGTAAGCCGAACTGTACACTTATTGTCTCCATATGTAGTCCCCGTCTACKCTGTCCTCAGCAAGAAAAGATAAATCACAAGATGACTGGAAGGTACTTACGTTTCCATCTCAGAACACTCGTGCCCCCTTGGCTTTTTGAAAGATTCATAAGGTGCAGGATCCAAATCCAAGACGATATTTGCATTTTCCCCTCACATTCAGAGCCGCATTCACACCCTGAATCCCATCATACGCATTTCAGAGAGCTGTTGCGGCGCTTTACAACGGTCATTCAGATTTCCTCGTGTGAAGATTCCAGCAGAGAAGTGCAAAGATGTTTTGTGGAGGAAAAATCCCTGGAGCGTTCCATGAGATCACCAGAGTTGCCAGAATGCCATGAAGAATGCAAACAGGAGAAAAACATCATACGATAGTCGAGACCCGATCTAATCCAAAGTTTGGGTAAAGCTCTTTTTCCCCCCCCCTGCACATGTTCACACTCCCACCCTCCTCTCTCCTTCCTAAACCCTCCTTCTGATCCATTATCACATCTACAGGCTCTCTTCCTCTGCAGCGGAATAACATCACGGCTGTTTTTAAATAATGAATCATCTCGTTGGAAATATTTATCCTCATTTGTCCCACTGCACTTCCAGTAATTCACTTCTATTGAGTTTTATTTGTTTTCTGAAGCTTCGGGGTTCCTTCCCACTTAAATTCTTGGAAGTTGGACACATTCATCAGGAGAAACCATCTGTGCTCAACTTGAATGTTGTTTTAAGATAAGAAATAAATAGATTGTACCYGCGCTAAAATACGAAGCGAAGACTGGAGAGCCAGGGTTTATTTTTGACCAGAGTGATGAGCTAATGGCTGACCTGAGCACAACGCCCTTCTTAAAGATTTAATATTGATTCACATTAATTAGATTTATTGTTTTTACACTGCTGTCAGTTGGCATTACAGTTATGTGGTGAAAACACTCCAGGCTGCCATAAAAGTGCTACAGCTAGCTGCTGCTGTTGTCATTCTTATACAAATAGTGTTGCAACAAATCTTTTTTTTTTTACTTTAATTTTAGTCCTAATTTCACTCGCTAGTTAGTAGGAATGGAAAGTGATTTTTGGGCTTTTTAAGTTTTATTTAAAACATGCAAATTCAATAAATTAGCTCAACTTTTTTTAACAATAGCACCTGTTATTGTTAAAGTAGTTTTCCAACAGTCTATTTTTTCATTTTTAACCCTACCACAGGTTCCTTTACTTTATAATTAATAAATAAAAGCGTAAATGACTTGTGACACCAGCTCCTTATTACAATAGCAGTTTATTTTGAGATAGTAGAAACTATGGTTGTGGGTGACCAAAGTTTTACAGACAGAATTCGAGGACCCCCTGTCAAATATTTGAAGGAAAAGCCAATAATTACCAGAGAAATGTAAAGTGTTTCTGCTTAAAATGCCCTCCTCAGGCCATTAGCTCATAAATCCAGTCAAAAATAGACTATTTCTTAAACTGAATGGTTACAAGAGTGATCTGCAACAGGTAAGATACTAAGTGTTTTAAGACTGCTCCACATAACCTCACTTCAAATAATCTGAGTTATATCGTTGATGCTTTTGTTAATGCATTTAAAAGCAATGCATGGCTGGACGTTTTTGCACAAAACCCTGCTTTACCTCAGGCTCCTATTGGATATTTTACGTCAGGTTTAATTTACAAAATGTCCTAATTTGCTTCTTAGTACTGTGACACTCTAAAAAAATAAATGCATGTAAAGCAAACATAATAAGGGATCAAACCAATATGATATATATATAAAGAAAAAACTAAACTAAAAAATATTTCAATCACATTTGGAAAGGTTTCAGTAGAAAAAAGGCAAATAAACCTGTAAAACTACTGTCTTCAAATTTCTTGTGTAAAAGCTAAAAAAATGTCCAAGAAAACAATGTTTTTCTTTGAGTTTAAAAATAAAAACATTAGGATAAAACTATTTTTAAAACACTTCACACCAATCCTTTTGTCTGATTAAGTCACATAAAACCAGAGTTACTTTGATGCTTCAACTTGTTTTAAATGTTCAAGCCGAGCAGAACAGCAGTGAGCACAGCGTGTTTTCCTCTTTAATATTTGGGTTAAAGAAATGAAAACCAAAACTACCAGATGATTTGACTATCTKTAGGCGAGAAATCAAAATTACAGAATACGTGTCAGAAAGTCAGAAAGAACTTGTGATTTCCCCCAAAATAAAAAAAAGGTGTGTGTGTGTGTGTGGGGGTGTGTGTGTGTGTGTGTGTGTGTGTGTGTGTGTGTGTGTGTGTGTGGGGGGGGGGGGGTGTTCTGGAAGATAATGACTCTTTTTGTCCTCCAGGTTTGTTGTTTGGCATCCCGGTGTGTGTTATCAGTTGTTTTAGGAACTCGGTGCTTCCATTCTCTCAAAACAAAGCTGAACTCTGTCGTCACGCGGGGGAATAATCTCAGAATGGCTTTCTCTATTTTAGTCTCTTTTTGTGTGTTTGGTCTGAAATATTTTCTGAACCTGCCAGTTTTAGGTTTTTTTTTTTCCACCCTAAAAGGCCAAACGTGGTATTAAAACATGTGCTTATTTCTATAAGTCTTGCTTTTACACTGATAATGGTACTGGAGAATGTTGGCAGGAAGACACAACATGACATAAAAGCAGATTTTACGTCCTTTAAAAGCATGTGTTCTGTGTTATGAAGCGTAAAGCAAGTTTTATACAACGTAAGCTTCTCAGCTCCTCTGGAGGAAACAGCAGATCTGTAGTGGGATGAAACTCCGGAGCTGATTTATCTCACACCAACTGATTTAAGAGGATGCATCCAGAAAGAGGAGCTGGACAAAGCCTCAGCTTTCATCAACAAGTGTTAAGCACATATAACAACACTCTGAATGGGGAGTCTCAATCCCCTCAAGAGCAACAGCAAACCTTGACTGAAGGACAATAAAGCAACACTGAGGTGGAGTCTGGAGGTGTCCAGCTGCTGAGGAGCAACATCATCCATCACCCCGCGGGCTGTAAATTTGCAGGCGGTGCCTTCAAAGCACAGAAAGAGTGTGAACAATGTTCAACTCTGTTGGTGACGCATAACCTCGCAGCAACAGGAAGGAGAGAAACACAAAGGAGTTTGGAGAACGCATGCAGACGCGTTATCAGATTTTGGGGAGGCGCTGCAGAAAGAGAGCAGCGAGATGAGAGGTGGCTCCGCAAAAGGGCCCCCCGCTCCTAAATCTGACAGCCAGGAAACATAAACATGACAAGGCGATGCTCGTCGGGGTGCCAGATCAGATTCTTGAGGAAAATAACCACGAGAGGCCGAGGAATGTCTTCAGAGCTGAAAGGGGAAAGGGAGGAGAAAAGACAAAAATGGACAAGAAAGCTGAGCATTTTGGAGGACTGAAATTAAAAGTGGGACTTTTGGACCGATATAACTTCACATGAAGCAAAATTCTCTCAAACACAAATGCTAAAAAGGAACTTTTTGTCTTTTTAAGCTCCCTTTTCCAGAATTATTTTTCTAAATTTCAATCAACTCTCCAGGTTTAGGTTTAAAATGATTCAGTACAAAAAGAGTAAAAACAAACCAGATCAGCTCCTGGAGTCAAATCTGTCATCGAGGCCCAGGTGAAGCAGGGTTTAATTACATCACCCGCTTTGCAGAATAATAATAAAAAAAAACTTCATTCATTTGGAGGAAGATATCTCGTCGTAAAGAAGCGTGTGGTGAAAAGGAATTAGCAGGATATTATCTCAGAGAGCAGATATTCTGCGCGGCGTGACGAAGAGGAGGAACTGGAGGAGGCCGTGAAGCGTGCAGCTGAAGACAGAAAGCATGACGGGTGATGGGAGCGCGAGTGAACGTCTGAGCACCAGTCATATTCAGGCCCTGAACTGGTCTACTTAACAGGACACAGCTTTGGTGTTTGTCGTTTTAAAGAAAGCCTTCTGAACAGTGGCGGATCTAGGATTTTTCTGAGTAAGGGGCAATTAGGGGGGCACTGTATTTATTGAGGGGCCAAGTATTTGTTCAAACTTCTTTCACACAAATCCCCAGTTTTGTAAGGTGTTTACGCTTAACCTGTCACACATGTTCAAGCACCTGTAATGTAATATAATTGTTTTTTTTTTTAAAAACAAAGCTTGCACAATAAATGCTCCTTACTTGTTAATCCATTTATTTACTCATTTCATCAAAAACAAACAAAACATTTCACACAAAACATTACAAATAAAATGAAAGGCAGCAGAAGAAAAAAAAATCTGCTCCTTTTTTAAAAAATTCAAACAATGATAAACCAAATAATAAAAAACAAAACAATTCAATACCTCAAACAC